GAAACAGGTCGCTACTAAGTGCATATATCTTGCATGCACTAAGAATCCTATTCAAAACAAAACACAGATAAATTACAGAACACAGTTCTCAGCCTTGATATAAATACCTACTAAGATGTAATCAAACAAAATGGAAATCTTGGAAAAAAATGACTATGCCCCTGAAGACAAGATTGAAATGTACGCTTGGTATCCAAAAGTACAAATATTTGACTGAAAAGTTGCTAGTAACATTCTAAAACCACACAAGAATCTTTATTATAAAACAAGAATGAAATACAGTGTTAATACTTCTTACATAACCTCACCCTCTCCTTTATACTCAATGGTGCATTTACAACTAAAAGCTGCAGAAATCCAAATATTAATTTTGCTATGTCTATCTGTCTGTCTGTGTTTAATAACTCGAGAACTTTCACAGCGACAAAGAAATAAAATAATTAAAAAGCATACCAATCTATTCTTGTCCATCTTACAATCAGAAAGGAGCCGCGATGGATAGGGAGACTTTGGAAACCGGTTCCACAAGCATTTTATTCTAAAAGTTCAGCCTTTCCTAAGACACAGATGCTGTTACACCATGCCCCTTCTTATTCAAGAGAGTGTCCTGACTTCTTCTGATGGCCTCATTGTTGTAAAGCTTTTGCCTCAAAATGCCACAGACCAAGTGCCAAATGTGTCCATGAAATGATGCTACCAGTGTTTCATAAAAAAAGACCATGCTAGATGTCACTCCTCAAGAATCGTTTCCTGTAATGCTAGTTTGATAATTCAAAAAACTTCTTCCAGGTTTTTCTTAAGAAGAAATCAAGTTCAGAATTCTTGATATGGTATATGCTTTGAAAAGTCGATGAAAATAATGTTGCAAAGTGGCTAAATGACATGTGAACTGGGCTTCCTTAACATGACAGACAAGGGCATCACTAATTCTGCCACAAAACAGATGGAAGAAGAGGAGAGTGGGGTTGATGACAGTGAAGACGAAGGACAAATTACAGAATACATCAGTCACTGCGTGACATTACAGACACCATGGAAATTCATATTGCTGTAAGAAGTTTAAAACAGTTTACAAGCACAAGATACCATTACACACTACTTCTCAAAATAAACATGTCATATGAAAAAATTCTGAAGGATTTATAATGCTTCATGTATGAATCAAACAAAATATCTTTGATTATCCATGTTTTTCAATTATTCAAACATCTCCTCTCCTTCATCAAACTGGACAGTTGGGAGTTTACTGTATTTACGGTCAGAATTGAGAGGTAATAAATACATTTAGTCACCATACTGTAAAGTTGTTCCCACAGTCCAAGATGACTTTATGCACAAATACAGTCAAGAAATGGTGCTATCTGATGAATCAGTAGGTAACAAAAAAAAACTGAGGTGCTCTGTAAATGTCTTGGGTACACCAATTATAAAACACACACATACCTTTCCATGACAGTTTTTCGGCTTTCATTCCCGGGGTCCTCAGGTTTAAAACTGTCTAATCGAGATATGTTTAATGGAATTATCACAATAATGGACAACAAGACATAACGTGTCTGCCAAGTTGCATTGTCAGAAGGATTCTGAATTTCTAGAAGTTGAAGAACGGGCTCAATATCTGATACCTACATACCAACAAAAAATTGAAATAAATGTTTTAGATAAGTAAACTTATAATGCACTTGTATCAACGTGATAGTAATTTTCCAAAAAACCACACTTTCGCAACGCTAAACAAGTCTTACCTCGTGTGGTAGATGCCTAACTACTACTTTGTAGCCTCTGACCTTCATTATCACATACAGATATTTGAAAGTAGCGTGTTTTAATTCTATCGAAGCGTCTCTACAGCGTATAATGCAAATTAATTTCTCTAAAATATTATTGAGATGTGGGTCCAACAAGTGGGGATTCATAATGTAAGTAAAACGTTCGTAAGCGCGTTCTACAGACATTTCTGACGAATATATTATCCTTAGATTTTCTATAATGTTTAACACTTCTTCAAGTTCAGAAAACATTTCTGGTGCACAACCTAATCCAACAGTTACCTCACGCTCACTTCCATTCACGACAACGTCGGACGCCATTTCGACACAAAGAGAACACACATCAGAACGCAATGTTGGTATTACTAAATCTTGTGGTGGTAGCCGTGAACTGCCAAGCTTCTTCGCTAGTTTGTAGGCCAGTCATCATGGCGCATATTTTGAAAGTACAAGAATAATTTTCATGAATCGTGCCTTGACGTTTTCTAGTGACTCTACGTTTTTCAGACTTAGGTTGGGCCATGTGATTTCGATTCCACAGGTTAGCAGTGGGACAATTTTAGCTTCGAATAGTCTTACAGCGGTTTCAAGGCTAAGTTGTCCTAGATTTCTTTATTTCGAACATCTCTTTGGTAGCTGAGATGACTCCCTCTTTAATGTGTATCAGGTAGGACTTCGTTGTAGTCTGCAGTGTTACTCCCAGGTACTTAAATGCATTAGTGACTTTCAATGGTTCCTTCCGCTGTCTTCCTTCCTCCTCTCCTGAACACCATCTGTACCGTCTTTTCTTGGTTGATTTGTTCCGCCCAGGTAACTAGTCGGTTGAATGTTTCCTGCAAGTCACTTTTCTTCGTCGAGCCTAGGTCCATATCGTCAGCGTAGATACATAGCGACGTTGCGGGTAGACATACTTTCGTGATGTCGGCCGTGGGGATGTTGTTAAGAGTGGGCTTAGTGGATCCCCTTGGAACACCCCTCTGGTTCGTACGATTTCTTTTGATGTCTTTACGGTGTCGTCGTTTCTGATCAGGTTGTGGGTCAGGATGTTGTGGATTAGGACGGATGTTCCTTTATCCAGTCCTAACTTTTCCATCTTTCCAGCGAATATCTGTCTGTTTGCACTGTCGAAGGCTTTTGTGTAGTCAATGAAAATTGTGTAGTACTTTTGTTTTGGGTTTCGGAGTACCTCCTTGTTGTCGTTTAGCAGGCTTTCTATTGCTTGTAGGCAGGAGCGGCCTCTTCTAAACCCAAACTCCTGTTGAGGGATTTGTGGGTCGGCTATCTTCGTGATTCTTTCTGTTAGTATGGTTCTCAGCAGTTTGAATGATCTATGTTCTAGGGCTATCCCCCTGTATGAGTTGGGGTCGTCAGTGGCACCCTTGCCTTTGTATAGCATTTTGATATTTGAAACTCTCCAGGGATATGGCAGCTCACCAAGTTCCAGGCTCTGGTTGAAGAGGCCTTCCCAAGTTTCTATGAGTAGCGGGCAGGAGGCTATGATGTGCTCATTGAAGATACCATCTGGCCCAGCTGCCTTGTTTCTTTTGAGAACTCCTACTGTTTCAGTAATCTCTTTTGTGGAGATTGGTCTGTATGTCCTTGTTATTGGTGTTGGCAGTGTGGGGTAGGCTCGATTTTCTCCAGTCGGGTTCAGGATGTCTGTAAAGTGTGTTTGCCAAGTCTCCATCTGGATGGTGGGCGATATTGGTACTTCCCTTTGTCTCAGCGCCACGAAAGGGTCAGTAACGGCTGCTGCATCTAGTTTCAGTCCTTCATTTTCCATATAAGTGTTCCTTTTATCCTTAAGAAGGATTTTGTATTATTTCCGTGATATCGAGTACGTCGCTAAATCTTGGGAGAGTCCTGACAGTTTTGCTTAGTGCAAGGCTTGTAGAGTAATCCGTCTTTTCCTGTAACAGTGCGCGACTTGCAAATCAAGCTTTCTCGATACTTCTGTGGCTCTATTCTGATGGACTGGCATTGCATTAGTCTGCATGTCGAAGGTGGCGAGGACCATGTAGTCGCCATACATTCAGAGCCGCTTGGACTTAGATGATGTCCAATGGACAGCGAAAAATAACCAGAATGCAATTTCGACAACGTCATCAGGGCGATGATTCATCGCCCTGATGACGGAGGCAGTATGACCTCTGAAACGTTGGTTAACATCGACCAGACTACACAGCGCAATAGCCCAGAAGACAGAAATCTTCAAAATAAATAGTGTTACTATCCTCAAATGACGGTTTATTGTATTTATTTTACAGAATTCACCATTTTAGTCGTTATCAAAATCCTGTGTTGGAAAACAGAAATTGAGCTTCTGGATTTCGATAATAATTCTTTTCAAAATGTGGGGCATCTCACCCGAGTTTACCCGATAACTAAAACGGAGGAAGGCCCGCCATCCCCAAATCATTGAGGTCTTCATCTCACGTAAACCCCTACCTCCAATTCGCAGACCGACCTCTGGGTCCAAATTCCAGACAATCCTCTTCATGAAGGACAAGTTGCCTCACGCGATACCTCTCATCAGCAAGAACAGTCCCTACTTTGAATAGCCAAGGCTTCCGCCGAGACAAAACCCTCGTCTTGGCTATTAGGCTCTGTTTACCATTTCCAGCAATGCGTTCCTTACGCAAGAATGCTCAATGGATTGGGCTCAACAGAGTTGGACTCTTACCTGCAGACGGAAAAAGACTCCAGTCTCCAAGACTCAATTTTTAATGGTTTTTGGTCTTTGACTATGCATTAGGTTTGCTTCAACATCTTAAGAGAGACTCGAACCAAGGACAGTATTCGGGTCTGTGACCTTAGATCCTGTAATTTCCTCTCCGAAAAGAAAGAATTTTGCCTTGAGGGAAAGAACTTAGTATTAATTATTGACTTCTTATTTTTGTGATTGAATGTAACCAAATTATAAGTTACAGTAATTATCCTTGTATTTTTTTTCAACTACCAACAATGTGCAAATATGGACCGACAATGGTCAGCCTTCATGTGAACACCTGCTTGTATAACAATGCAAGAAAATGTATTCGAATTCCTAACCCATTCTTGCAACAATATTGGCTGAGCATGCCGTAAGGCTCTTTTCTCATTTATTATACATGCAGTTTAATTAACTGAATAAACCTTATTGCACTCCGTTCCTTTATCCAAGAAACTAATTGTTGC